GAAAGAGATAAACAGAGAACAAGGAGACAAACAGACAGAGAGAAGACCGGGAGAGAGGAGACAAGGAGAGGCAGGCAGAGGGCAAATAAATAAGAGACAAACATAGAAAAGCAAAAAGGAGACAGACACGAGAGACAAGCAGAGAGATGAAGGAGACAAGGCAAAACAATATACAGAGAGACAGAGTGAAGAAACAAACAATCAGAATAAAAAAATAAAGAAGGGAAGAGAAGAGCGAGAAACAGAGACAGCAGAGACACTCCACCGGAAGAGAGAGACCCAAGAACTCCAAAGAGAGACAAATAAACGTAAGAAGTAGAACCGGATACAGAAGAGACAGCCTGCATGCATGCATGCATGCATGCAAGCATGCATGCATGTCTATTATATCCTTATAGAAGCACCTTTCTAAGAGATGGAAGCCCCACAACAGACAGGGGTTCGTGCGGGGCCCTCAAATCGAAGAGACAGATTGCTTCTGTTGCATCATGGACAGCAGCAAGAAGAAACTGCTGCTGAGGATGCGGTGCTAAAGCAGTAAATGCAGTATGATAAGTAGAATTAGCTGTGCATGCAGCGTACAGACACTCCGCTATATACTGCACGCTGCTGCTGTGTGTAGATGCATGCACTGCTGGAAACAGACGAGTCATACCCTTCGCCTGAGCCCCAGACCGCAAACAACAAAACAATAAAATATAATATTCTTAGAATATTTCGTATTTATCCTATATATACACCAACACAAACAAACACTCTCCACACGACGCTACGCAAATAGAGGCAGCACCAACACCTGCTGCTGCTGCTGCTGCTACTGCTGTTGCTCGTGTTGTTGCTGCTGCGGCACGAGGAGAAACAGCAACTACACCAGCAAATGCAGCACAAGCACAAGAAGCAACAGCTGCAGCAATGACACCTGCCATAGACACTGCAAAAGCAGCAGCAGTAGCAGGAGCAGAAGCAGCAGCAGCAACAACAGCAGCAGCATGAGCAGCAGCAGGAGGAACCTACCCTGAGGTCTAGGGCCCAGAGGTTATCGCTTCCGAGTAGAAGAGTTTGTCTTTGATGAGGAGTATAGGATAAACTTTGAAATAATTCAGCAGCAGGATCGCCGAATGCTGTGCGGTGTACATACCTCAGGAAGGGCCGCGACCCCCGCCGCATGTTGCGGCTCCCCATAGATAAAGAAATAGGGGGCTGCACATCCATCTACAACAAAAAAATAAATTAGCAAACAAACATATCACAAAATAAACGCAGTGAAATCCATGCGAAACGCATGCAAAACGCATGCAAAACGCATGCAAAATGTATGCAAAATGTATGCAAAACGCATGCAAAATGCATGCAAAATGCATGCAAAATGCATGCAAAACAAGAAAGAGAACAAAGATGGTGGAAATTGCTCCACATGGATTTCTACTACTACTAAAATTATATATATATATATATATATATATATATATTTTAATAACATAGGCAATATACACAATATGCATAATATATATTATACTTAACATATATAAATATTTATGTATTTATAGATAACATCTAATACATATCACATATATAAAGCACTACTAATAAGCAAATCGCCACAACTTGGGGTGTACGAACAGATATGCAAGTGCATGCAGCGCAGTGTATGTAGAGAGATTTTAATGAATATGTTTGTTTTAGGTGTCTGTACAGTTCAAGTGTTGTGTATTTTTTCTTGTATTTACTCTCGCATCTTCTGCTCTCCAGATACCAACAGAATTTGCATTATAAAGAAAAGCTGCCTCGCCAACATGATGAAAACTAACAGCAATATTCACTGCTGCATGCTGCGTAGGGTTTTGCTTAGGCACGCTAAACCCTAGGAGCCCTCGTTCTTGCTGCTGCTGCTGCTGCTGCGATGGGGGGCCCCCCCTAACTCCTGGCATTCGCCTCCCGTAGGGAGAGTCGTGCAGCACCTGCACCTTCAGCTGTCTGTACACCCCACCCTCTTCAAACCCCCAGC